CCTTGTCTGGGGCAGTCATCTTCTGTGTGGAAGTACCACCTGCACTTCTTACACCAGTCCGAGTATGGCGTGGCAATTTCCACTGTCCATAACTCTCCCTTTGGTGACTCGATCGTCAACGAGTTTTCCACCCGGAACCGCGCCATTGGATCCATATCCAATTTTATATTCATAAGTTTTGGTTTCGTCCTATCTGCCTCCGGTGGGTGCATGGATTTTACCCCTCCAAACAGACCCTCCGCTGCCGACGGTAGATAGCACATAGCATCCAGTGGGACCCTTAGAGCTACGATCCAAAAATTGGTCTCCGCTTCTCTCAGCTTCAGTTCTTTCAACTTCGTTTTAGGCATCCATGGTTTCACCAGCACTCGGTAATCCTTTCCTCTCAGTCCTAGTCTGATCGTTGAATTCTGGATCAGCCAGGTCGAGACTTCGATTGCCTTGGCCACATATGAGATTACGTTTGGACTCTCAAACTTTATCCTCCCTCTTCTAACGTTCGGGTCGAACAGCCGCCTTGCCATCCAGCCATCCTCGTGGGCTCTAATTAAATCCTCCTTCACGCTTCTCGTCAAATCCTTCGCCTCATCCTGAAATATAAATCTCACTGTCCTCTCTTTCAGCCATCTTTCCTTGATTGCGTCAAAGGATTCGCTGACTTTAAACCTTTTGCCTCTCTCGTCTTCCACGACCTCCCCCACGTTCTCCACCATCTGCACTACCCCCTCGTCATAGCATTGCCCAATAGATCTCCTGGCTCTATCCTCCGTAGTCCAAAAATTAACCTCCGGGGGGCGTGGGGGGGGGGACCTTCGCCCTCCCTCTCCCTCCCCTGCTCCTTCCATCTCCATTGGCTACCTACAAGCGCCTCTTTGTCCATTTACCTCTTCTTCGCCCTTTCCCTGAGATCTCGCCTCCCACAGCAATATCTATTTCCTCTGCCCAGGCTAAGTTCCACTTTTGTAATCACCTCCCTTTCTCCCTGTTCCAATCATCATTAGGCAATTATCACTCGACAACTTTGGCTTTATGCTCCTTTTTCCTGTCCCTTCGAGACCTGAAGTCTGGGGTCCGAAAACAGATCAAAGTCGACGACGGAGCTGGGAAAGCGTTTGCCATCAATCCACTCTCACTTCCCTCTCTTAAGACATCAGGGATCCGCAGCCCAGAGACTGCTAAATACTGCCTCGAAGCGTACCAGTGCCGGTCGCCCAGTGTGGGCCTTTCCCCGAGCTCCTCTGACTGAGTATTACGTTAACATTAATTACGTTCACTCTTAGCTGGAGCCCATCACCGCAGGATTTCTAAATCTGCTCTGTTGTCTGTTTTCTCCTCTCTACCTTGGGAGATTCCCCAAATCCTATGGCACTTAGGTTAATAGCTCGAGATTTGGTATGGAGGCTCAGCTTTACTCCCTTTTTCCCCAGCTCCTCCCTTCTCCCAACTCCTCTCACGGACTGTCATCCGACTCCATACTCCATGAACTTTACATGATCTTTCCCCTAGTTATCCTTTAGCCTCCTTCTCCTCCGTCCCTCTTGATTGCTTCCGATCGAGATCCGGGGGACCTTCTTGTCCTACGTCTTCTTCCCTTCCATTTTAGTAGGACTTGGTAACCCTAAAAAAGATTGACGACAACTGCTTACGATGACCTTGGAAGTGGCCTCTGGTTGGTAGCAACCCCAGTGGCACCATACTCAACTTAAAATAAGTTGAACTCCACATAGTAGAATTATGCACATGAAGGTACACGAGCTACCTTAAACGGGCTCAAACCGGCATAGCCAGATCTCACGATGCGTGAGAAAGGTGAGACCATCGCTCCCCGTCAACGGCGGCGGGGTTGGCGACGAGGTAGGGCATGGACCCGACTGAGACAAAACTCCTGCTAAACCGTCGGCCCGTGCCGGCGTCAGTTCGGAGCGGCTTGAATTAGCGCATCAAAGTTAGCGCAGCCGCCCAGCCGCGGCTCTCTCCAGCTGCTCTCGTACGAAGTTTCTTTTGCATTTGGTCAGTGGTGCGACCCAAAAGAAAAATAATAATAATAATAAAAAATCGCCTCACCCGTATCCTCTACGTCCAACCCAACCCGACCTGACGCGACTCTGCCAACCCGCTCCTTTCCTGAATAGGAAACACTGAATGTCGCCCGCTAGAAACGTCTGACGACCTCCTCAACCTACCGTTGGTCGCTGAGCCTCGAAGCTTTGGCGCGACCACTCGGCCTACTGCTGGTCGCTGAGCCTCGCCAACCACACCCTTCAAACGCACCTGTGGACGCCCTCTAAACCCCTGCGCTACTCGACAAAAAAAAAAATTGACTTACCGTGAGGGCACGGGTGCGCAGCCCGTGGCTCGTTTGTTTATGTGGTTCGAAAAGGGTAAGGTAATGATTATGCTGTATGTATGTTTTGTCATGTTCGCTATACACAACTCGAAGAGTGTGTGTGGGGGGGGTCCCGATTGATGCTTTATTCACAATGTTCATAAGACGCTGGACCCAGTTTCCAAGAGGTGGCGCTCCCCATCAATAGATGGGAGAATGTATGTGCGTGTGTATGTGAGTGTGAGAGTGTGTGTGTGTATGCGTG